GGGAAAATTTTTTCCATACTTCATTTTACTTTTATATATATAGAGATAAAGATATAATATAATATAATTTATAAAATATAAATACACATAATAACTTCAAAAATAAATAAATAAATAAGTATATATATATATATATATATATATATATATATATATATATATATATATATATATATATATTGGATCCAATGAGACGCATATTTTGATGAGACGGTAAGATGTAATCTGGTTCGTTTATTTTTATTTTTTAACGGTTTGGATCTTTTGTTTTTGGATCCCATGTGCTGATGTTTAGTAAAGGAGGTAGGGACATTGTGGTCTTTTGCTTGTGTTATTATTTTAGATTCCATATTTATAGCGTGCGTTGGGGGTGTTTGCGTGTGTTATTTATGGGATGATACTAATTAAAGTTTTGTAATTGCGATTGGACTCTTCATATCACAGTGTCGATTCACTTCCATCTGTTGTCACCTCTCTCCTCCCGCGTCTCGAGGGCTTCTCCGATTCCGACGGTAGCGGTGTCCCTATGGTGTTTTTTGAGCGTCGTCCTCTCCTTTTTCGGTCTGTTCTAGTCGCACAAGTCGTTGGTGAACATGGCGGGTTCTTCTAGCACGAATGTTAAGCGTCGGAGGGGTAGTTCTTCCGTGTCTACTCAAGGTATTTCGACTTCCTTGTATTTTTTGAGTGGGTATTTGATTTTCCGGTGGGGTTTTGGTCCGGGTGGGGTTTTCCGGGGGGTGGGGGTTTGGGAACGGGTGGGGTGGGGGCATGCAGGGGGTTGATTGTGGTCCGGCTATCTGGTTTTCCGGTGGGGTTTTTGTCCGGGTGGGGTTTTCCGGGGGTGGGGGTTTGGGAACGGTTGGGGTGGGGTCATGCAGGGGTTGGTTTGTGGGTGTGGTGGTGTGGCGTGGCAGTGTTGGAGTAGTAGTGTTTTTTATTTGTTCGTCCGGTAGGTATGTACCTGGCCTTTGGGTTTTTTGCGGTGGGATGGGTTGTCGACGGTGATGGGGGGAAATGGTGTGGTGTGGGGGTAAGGGGGGAGGGGGGGGGGGGGAGCCGTGTAGAAGTGGATATATTAGGATGAAAAACAACGTTAATTGGAGGGGCGGCATTATATTATCTACGTTTTAGCCAAGATTAATTGCGAGGTTGTTGATTTTTTTTTCTTATTTTCTAAACTTCTGATTGTTGTTTACTGTGTTCTATTCATGTTTGTTTAGACTTGTGTGTTAAGTCCCTAAACTAATCATGGCTGTTAATAAAACTGGTTGTTAGATATATATATATGTTTTTGGTTCGGTCTATTTTATATTATATTCAATTTTTATTCACCCGTTTAAGTAATATATTATTTAATTTGAATATATCAAGCTTAAATGGTTGAATGATTCTGCATAATTTGCTGTAATTGGCTCTTGTTTTTGTTTTGAATTTGCAATTCAGTGTTTCATCTGTCGTTTGCAACTGTGAATTTTAACCGAATATTGTGTAGCATATGGTAGTAGTAAGTGGTGTGCGTTATTCGTATGAGGTTTGTGCGTAATAAAGTGATTACTAATTCGTTGATGCGTTATACGTTTTAGGCTTGTGCGTAATCTTATATTTGAAGTGTGTGCATTTCGTTGGACATATTTGTTGGGGTTTATTAATGTTTGTTTTGTTTTAAGTATCCGAACTTTATTTTGTGTGTGTGTGTGCATGTTTTTTTTTTTGGTATGCAAGGTATCTTTAATCGTGATTAGATTGTCATGTTCTCATTTATTATAATACTGTTCACCATATCCTTTACTAGGAAATGGTGTGTGCATTCTTAGAGTGACGTTTGTGCGTAATTCTGTATTTGCTATATTCGCTGTAATTGGCTCTTGTTTTTCTTTTGAATTTTCATTCGACTGTATCATCTGTCCTTTGCAACTGAGCATTTTCTGCGAATATTGTGAAGCATATGGTAGTAGTAAGTAGTGTGCGTTATTCGTATGAGGTTTGTGCGTAATAAAGTGATTACTAATTCATTGATGCGTTATACGTTCTAGGCTTGTGCGTAATATTATATTTGAAGTGTGTGCGTTTTGTTGGTCATATTTGATGGGGGTCATTAATGTTTGTTTTGTTTTAGGTATCCGAAATATATTTTGTTTTTTTTGTTTTTTTTTTTTTGGTTTTTTTTTTTGGTATGCAAGGTATCTTTAATCTTGATTGGCTTGTCATGTTCTCATTTATTTTAATATATATTGTTCACCGTATATTGTACTAGGAATTGGTGTATGCATTGTTAGAGTGACGTCTGTGCATAATACTGTATTTGCTATTTGGTTGGTGCGTTTTAGGTGAGTTGTTGATAATCCTCCGCTGATGATATGTCATTAATTAGCTAAATATGGCGTCACCCCCATGGTCCTGGTACGTTACGAGTAGCATTTGTTCTTTTGTAGTTGGCTGTCTACCACTTGTGTATAATTTGTTAACATTTAGTTATTTTTGCAGCATGATTTGCTCTCTGTATTTTTTGAGAATATCGGGGTTTCCGCTCTATATATGAAGTAACTGAATTAATTCCTCGTAGGGTTCGTATCCCTTGGCGTGATGCGAAAAACAAGTTGGATTGCGGTGTGTTTGCAATGCGCCACCTTGAGTCCTATGTTGGGCAATCGTATGCTTCGTGGGATTGTGGTCTACGTAGAGGTGATGCACGGGCGTTGGCTTCCCTTCGCGATCGCTTCATGTATGGCATTTTACTTTTTAATGGTAACTCACATCGTGTTTCAAATATCAACGCTGCCTTGGGGTCTGGACACATTGATCGGTGAAACCTCGTCCGTTGCTACAGACACTTTATGTTTAATCTCTGCACTTACTCCCGCTTTTGAAAACGTTCTACAGTATTTCTGTTTATTTGACTGTATGCCGTTTGTTAGATGAACAATGCCGAATACAGTTGTCAGACTCGTGCTATTTTTTTGTTTTGTGTTATGCTATTTTGCTTTCATGCACAAACCTCCATCTGCACTAATTTCCCACATGATTAAGCTTCTATTTTTCCATACGATTAAAAAATTAAGTTTCAATGCATTAATTTCAGCAACTATTACCCATGTACGCACTGCCCGCATTCGTAAAAATACGTGCCCGCAAACGTCACGTTATGATACGCGCATACAAAGTTACATGCTCTATTTATCCCTTACGAGTGAACATACATTAGTCCTTTATCAGTACTAATTTATTCATCGTACTAAAACAGTTCCGTCCCGGATAATGCGGGTGTCAAAAAATTGCTCGGTTTTCATTTTCATGTGCGTGCGTTTGTGGTGTGACGTTTGAGCGTATTTCTGTTACAAAATTTTACTTTTTGATTATTGTTTTCACTCATTTGATTCCTTAAATTCTTATTTTTTTTTGCTGTTTTGTATTTTTATACAGTAAGTATTCACCATTTAATTCGTATCATTTCGATCGAGTACACCTTAGCTTTTATTTATGTCACATTGCATATTATGCTGCGGTGTGCGTTCTTGGTGTGAGGTGTGTGCGTCATACTTTAATTCCATACTGGTTGGTGCGTCCTACTTATTACGCTTGTGCGTCATCCTGTCCATTATCCAATTCGCTAACTTTTGTTCACATTTCATTCTCATCAAATTTAACTCACACCTTCGTGTAGACAACGCGAATATCAAAAATAACCATATGTTCTGGATAAAAAAAATTATTTAAATTCTTTTTTCCTTTTCGTGCGTCCAATTCTAACCACATATAATCATCACTGCTTTTGTGGGCAGCTCCTACTATTATGCCATGTCGCCAAACCACAAGTTTTGCACGTTCGTTTTTTCTTTACTTGCTCCGCCATTGCCAGCTCCTTCGCTGATTTCATTCGCTTCCCAGACCCTTTCGTATTTGCCACCGTTGGGGGGTGCACTACAATTATCTTTGGGGCTGGCACACCACAATATGATTCCATAACCGCCTGTTTCCCGTTTACTGTACTCCATTCCTGTCCATCCTCGCGCATTTGCCCTTGAAAATCTTCTATCACATCAGTCAGTTGTCGAAGTTTGTCGGCCATCCCTCGTGCCATGGCTAAATATTTGTAGAAGGCATTAATTAGGTTACTTTCATCTTTGTTGTTTTGTGGTGTACTCTCTTCGCCTTCCTTTCTCTCGTTGGTTGTATCGGGATTTGTGTATATTCCTGCTTCGCGGGTCCATCTGGGAGTAATGTGTTGTGGAGGTATTTGACTTATCTGTTCATTCTTCAAAACAATAAAAACATGTCGGCAGAGCAGTCCAATCCTTGTGTATAATCGGCAGGTGCATGTCGTGGTGTTGCTTCCATATTCAAGTATGACCGTGTATGTCTCCTTGTTCCCGTCCGCAATGACATATGTCTTCGATGTCTCATCTTCCGTTATTGATCGCACTCGACATGTATAACAACCGGCATAGATTTCTTCCTGCACTTCGTAAAAAACCTTCAATGTGTACACCGATGCTACTTCTCACTCTATACACAATGAGGTCTTCAAAGGTGGGGTTTGTCCCTCGCACGCTGCGTTTAGTTCTAGGTGTGTGTTACGTTGTGTCTTTACTGCACTCTCGAATCTGTTCCAAAAATCAACCAGACATAGGTGCTTATTACTATTTCTTTGGAATACTCTATTCTCCGATTCAGAACGTGAAGTCGTCCTCAAAAGGCCTGCCATGAACACATCATCGAAGAATGCAGGCACCCATGACGCACGGTCTTCATACATACGCTTCAGCCACCTGTTGTCGCTTAGCCCGCATTTTCCAATAACTGCATCCCATGTACTCTCAAATTCGTTGATTGTTGATTTCTCATTCCATACAACAGCATTTAGTGCACGCCGGAACTCATCATTCTGTGCCATCTCAGTACCAACTTTATCACCCACCTTTGTCATGATATGCCACATGCAATAACGATGCCGAGTCCCCGGGAACTCCGTTGCAATTGCCACCTTCATCGCCGAATCTTGATCAGTTATGGTCAACGGGGGTATACTTCCCATTGGCCATTGCATCCTTGAACTTCTGTAGGATCCAACGGTATGACTCCACGTCTTCCCTATCGATCAGTCCTGCGCCAAATGTTACAAATCTCTTATGATTGTCTACGCCGGTGAATGGAACAAAAACAAGCTTGTACCTGCCACCAACATAAATAACTCATTACACTGATGACGTGTTTTTAAATGCTGAACTAGTATAATGCACAAGCCTCATAATAGACACGCACACACCGTCTTAATTACAGTTTGCCAAACCATTGGTCATCTGCTTACAATTAATTAATGTTTTATTTGATTCATATTCTTAATGCCAAACCATTAATCCAGTACATACCTGTTTGTTTGATACGTAGCATCAAACGACACGACATCACCAAATGCTCCATAATTTTGCCGTGCCACACCGTCCGCCCAAAATAGTAGGGCCAAGTTGTCTTGCTCATTCATTTCGTAATCGAAGAACATATTTTTATCATCTGCTTTCTTTGCAAGGTACTTTGATATTACCATTTGTGCATCTCCCTCCCTCATGAATTCCAACATCTCTCTCTTGTAATTCTTGAAATCTTGTTTAGTAGCTCCCACATTAGCGACACCACCAACCAACTCTGCGTATAGATCAAAACTCTTACTTGATCCGATGTTGACTTTCAAACAGTTCGTTATGAATTGTTAGTGTCCAATGTCCAGCTTCCTATTCACTTTCATGAACGGTTTATATCTATCCTTGGCCAAACTGTGCGTGTGTTCTTCTTCGAAACCTTTTACTTCGTATCTCCCCCGATACCCAGTTTGAATGAGATCCTCGCCCGACACCCTACTCTGTTAGTCGTACGTCGCCGCTTTTGTTGTTTTGGCCCTTCAATTGTACATGCTGCTATACCCGTCGGCCCCTTAAAACCTTCTCGAGAGCACACCAATCGCTTTCTCAATATTGTTCCGTATTTGTTCTTTTCATCAGAACTGCGCCGCACATCAAATCCGGCGTTCGCCGCGTACTTTATATAGAAATCAATCCCAGTATCTAATGACTCAAATACTTGTCCTTCAAATGGTTTCAGACATGGATCACACTCTGGTATCCAAACCATCGTGCTACCGGTGGTACCTCCGTAGCACAATCCATCTCCTCAGCATTTTTTTCAACGTTGTCTGTAGGTGACACACAATACATTAGTCCATAAGATGTTATGAATAATATAATATTCACTTGCATACACTCAACACAACCATTGCATTAGATAATTGTAATGAACTGTACATCTTGTTCGTGTTAACGCACAGATCGCATACAATACACATACGCACATGTCGTGGGAAACTAACGCACAGACCCAATTTCCCGTTTACTGACTGCCATCCATTATTATAAAAATACATGCCAAACCTTTGAAGAAAGTCACATTTCATCAAAATCCTTTAATTGCACGTCATGATAACGCACCTTGGAGAAATACACCCACTTGTCGTCCACCGAATGCCATGTACTACAATAATAAACACACGCACATACCGACGTGAACTAACGCACACACCGACGTTACAAAAACACACAGACCTCATTGCATGCACTATCGAAATAAAAGCCATAAAATCTACTTTTATTAGGAATTAATGCCTCACATGATTTCACGCACACCCATTGTAATACTAATTTTTCAAACAAATTACTTACATTCAAGCATAACCATTCTAATTCGAATGAGTAAGGTGCACACGCCGCATTAAACGCACGCACAAACCTAAATTCACCCACAAACCAAATCCCACCCATTCCATATAATTCATGAAAGATTGAATCCACAAGTAATTCAACACATACCCTTTTTAAAAATAATTTGTGTAACCTTGACGAATGTCACACCGCTAAAAAACCATTGAAATGCACACCCTGGGAACGCCAATTGGAAAATTTCACCCACTCGCCAAACACCAACTATCCACTGCATGTGCGTTCGTCTATTTCCAATAAAAACACACACACACCCCCCCCCAAATGCTTCGTGTCCCCCTCGCATATTAATATAAATACAGCCACCAACACATAACAATGCCAACACCGAACAAACAAAAGGAAGCACACGCCGTACAACCTGGATGCACAAACCACCGTACAAAACACATTACAATAATTGAGTCTGCAAATCTCTTACCTGTGGTATGAGTCATGTTCGTCGACTGAAGTTACGTCCGCAACACCCACTTACTGCTCACGATAGGGCTCCAACAACTTCTGTGCATAGTTGACAACTAATCATTTCTATTATATTTGTGATATTTAATTATGGCAAAAGATTCTAATCACATTCTAACCAAAATTAACACATTACTACAATTACTTTTAAACCCTCCTATTAATAATATTCCTTATTTTACATTACATTCCTAAATCAATCTCATCCATCCATTACAAATGTACAAATGGACACTACTACAAAAAAAGATATCCACTGCACCCATAAAATGCTTTCCGCTACACCCATACAGGGTGTAGCGGAAAGCATACAAAGTATTTTTTATTTTTTTTAATACAAACTTTCCGCTACACCCGCTACAGGGCGGGTGTAGCGGAAAGTATTTTTTAAACAAAAAATTATGACTTTCCGCTACACCCACTATAGGGCGGGTGTAGCGGAAAGTTACCTTTTTAAAGAAAAAAAAAATTATATATATAATTTCTCCCTAATTAATTGTTTAATATTTTTTTTACACACACAATCATCTAGCCAAATTTTAATATTTTAAAACACATAAATGAACTATTTTATTAATTAAAAAATCCATTCTAAAAAATAAAATAACCACTAAACATTAACAAATCCAGACATAATAAAAAATACAATCACAATGAATCTTAACAAATAAATATCATAAACCATATTAAAATACAATAATAATAATAATACTCTATTAGAATTTACAAAACAACAATAGTTAAGATAGACACTGGTTTGAAAATAAAATAGACAGATAAAAACAAGTTTAGGTTACCAGACCAAGCCTGATAAGAACTGTAATGCATGTTCCTAACAATTCCCTTGCCTCATCCATTTCCTTCTTCAACCTTGTAATCACACGGCAAGCAGCACCATGCTGCCAAAACATGACACAATGTTCAGAAATCACACAAATATCGAGCATAGATTAAGCACACATGAAAAGTATTTGTATGTTAAGATAATAGTACAGTTCTATAGAGTCACCAGAAAGGGAGCAATTAGAGGGGGTACCTCAGTCATAGGTGAAATTTCAACTACAAGAAATGGACCAGGGAATTAAATATCTTATCCTTCAATTGTCAAACTATGTAGCTATCCAATTGCATAAAATAAAAATAAATAATTTTTTTTTTCAAATCTAACACACAAGCCTAGGGTGAGAAATCTCTTGCTACAAAACACCATAAAAGAAGAGCAAAAGATTTGACTTCAACATGCAATTATTCATCTTAATGATGAACTAAGGAATTACTGAAAAGGTCAATTACTTGGTCATAGTTTTCATGATCCTCTAAGCTCTTATTCCTAACATCCATATTTGCAAGCAGCAGTACTAAGTGCTCCCGTTGATTTGCTACATTTCCTTTCTTTACTCCACAAAGATCAGGAAACAAAAAGTAAGTAAGAAGAAAAGTTTGAAGTACAAAGCATCACGTAAAGAATGAGATTGCTCTTTTGGTGGCTGTCATTTTTATTAGTCTATCATATTAGATTGGATGAAGAAAATAAGGGGAGATCCAAATTACCTGGAATCCAAAGGCTGAAGCCAGCCATTCAAGGATGTCGTTTGTTGATTTATCCTTACTGCCATCATGAGTTCGGATAATGGGGAGATTATCCATATTACGGATAGCTCGAAGTGCTGCTTTGATCTGTTTAAGAAAGGCAGAACAAGCAAGTATATTTAGATAAATATGAAACATTAAGTTACATAGGGAGCAAGAAGAAGGACCCTTATATTCCATCAACTACTTAAAGACTCCTAATGAACTATGCTTACAATCCAACTACAAATTACCTCAGAAAGTTCCATTATCACAGGTTTAACTCCAACATCATAAAGAGGGAGAATGTTATAGTGCTCATGGTATTCTCATTTCTCCTCTACATCTTTGGCATACCTTTGTGACTACAAGTATGATGCAAAAATAAGTAAGGAAACTCATACGTGGAATATATACAAAAGATTGCAAAGTAAATAGATCAAACCTGTTCAGGGTTATGATTTTACCTCGAGAGTCCTAAGCTGCTCTTGGTATTGAGCCAAGAGCTGCTTCAAATGGTTCACTTCTTTGCCTCTTTCCTCGAATTCTTTCTGCCGCTCATGTTGTATGGAAACAGCCCGTTTCAAAATATTATTCTCCTGTAATAAGGCTTCATGCTGTTGTTTCAGTATCAGGTTCTCCTGAAGTTAAGAAGAGAAAACTTTAGATGAAAATAGTTTTGCAGAGAAAAACGTTTGTGACAAATGCTATATGAGGGTAATTTAAAAGAACACAGTAACAGGAATATAATTCCATACTAACAAACTACCTGCTGGAAACTCTGAGTGGCAGTTTCAGATGCATTCGCATAAATTGACTTCTCAAAAACCTCAAGAGCTCGTGAAGTACGGGCTTTAACATCATCTATATTGGAGGCCATCTTCATTTCTCTAACAAAAATCTCGACAAATTCTTCCCTATTGATGGGAGGTTGTTTATTTGCAGATGGTTGCTCTTGAGGTGTGCCATCATCCCCATTACTTGTTGAGTTACCTGCACAAGTAAAATGTCTAAAGTTGGTGCAGAAGGCAAAACAATTTTAAGAAAGTATCCATGTGCAGTTTCGCTAGTGATTATGAATGCCCACTTAAAGAATCAACATAGAATCCCAATTTACATTCAACATAAAATTTTGGAAAAATATTTTCCATTTCCAATTATTTTCTATTTTCCATCTAAACATGTTTCCATTTTTTTTCCACATTACTGAACAGGCCCTAAAACCTAGTTTATAATCAACACTAATCAATCTTAGCTACTAATATCACAATAAGATAGTCAATAAGATACTAATATCACAATAACAATAATATTTGAAATAAATTAACAAAAAATTGAAATAAATTAATATAAAATAATTTTTTTTTAAACTTACCGGTTATTTTGGGAATCGGCAGCTACGGGGTGTTCGGTGGCGGTGGCGAGTGAGGCAATCCGGCGAAGGAAGGGAGGCGGCGAGTGTGGCTGAGGCTGAGGCGGTGGTTGTCGGCTGTTGTCGTCGACGAAGGAAGAGCGGCGGCGGGAATGACGGTCGGTTCTGGTCTCTGAAATGAGAGGGCGAGAGGAAGGTTGGCTGTCGGCTGTCGTCGGCAGAGGATGGGCGGCGGAATGGCTGTCGTCGTCGGCGAAGAAGGCGGACGGCGGAGTGTATTTCGCGAAGAAGGATTACTGTGCGCTGTCGTCTCCAAGTCTGAGGCGAATTGAAATGGCGAAAAATGCTGAGGCGGGTAGGGTATTAATTTTATTTTCTAATAAAATAATAATAAATTCTCCACGTCACCCTCTCCATGCGGGTGCCGCGGAAAGTTTATTAAATATTTTAATATTTAATTTTCCCGACACCCTCGGTAAGAGGGTGCTGCGGAAAGATTTTTATTTCTTATTTTTTATTTCGAAATTACTTTCCACTACACCTTTATTTTAAAGGTGTAGTAGATTTTTATTTGTTTTAACTTTTCACTACACCTTCATTAAGGGGTGTAGTGTAAAGTTGTACTTATATACTCATTTTTGTACTAGTGGGATGAGATGTCATATATACATATACATATACATATTTATATGTGTATATATATATATATATATATATATATATATATATATATATATATATATATATATATATATATATATATATATATATATATATATATATATATATATATATATATATATATATATATATATATATATATTAAAACAAAATAATGGCCACAAAATTTCCCTCCAAAGTGTGAATATAATGCATTTTGGTACAAATAAGATTAGCAAGTAAGTATGAATGCATTAATTGTTGGATATATATATATATATATATATATATATATATATATATATATATATATATATATATATATATATATATATATATATATATATATATATATATATATATATATATATATATAGAGGGAGAGAGAGAGAGAGAGAGAGATTTTGATGTTATGACTTATGAATTATCATTATTTTATTTATTTGGATGTGTTATTTGATTGAATGTTGAAAACAGCGTCATTAAAATTATAAAACTGCAAGTTTGCCACTATTTTTTTGGCACCCGCCTAGCGCCTCCTAGATTCCGCATAGGCGCTACCCGGGCACCCGACTAGCGCCTAGCGCCTACTACAACCTTGTATTTACCACATCACTAGTGTATGAAGTTTATGAACCTAATTTATCCCATCAAGCCAATTTTTACTTTCTTACCCTTAAATCTATGGCTTATTAAATGAAAATTACATCGGAGGACCAAATCTGAAAAATAATCAATAGTCAAGGCCATGGACCATGGTCAAATTGAAAGCTGATGATAAAAATTATATTGGTAAATGTCAATAGTTGAGACATCATTTTTCTAATTAACTCATTGAAATATATTGCGATCACAACATCCATTAACTGCATTTCTAAATTCATTTTTACTGCCAGCGGTATTAGATAACGGAACGATGTGTCATCTAAGACAGGAGAGTAAGTTTGTTCCAAATCTATTCCGAGTCTCTGTGAGAACCCTTGAGCTACCAGTCTCGCTTTGTATCTGACCACCTCATTTTGTTCATTCCTCTTTCGTGCACACACCCATTTGTAACCTCAAGGTTAACGCTCAATGGTGTAATGTTATAAAGAGAATTTATTCATTTTAGCGAGTCGAACTATACCTTAATTGATCCTTTATATGTTAAATAGTCATGACACTTCCGGTGTCTAACTCTAGATCCAGATTATCATATAACGAGCAATTTGTAATGGCAATTGTGTTGTCGACAACTATAACCTATTTATAAATGTCTCCCATATTTGTAAAATTTAATGGCAATTTTCTAAAATAACCAGATTCTAGACATTTCCCAAAGATATTTTGATCTGGTCGTTCTGCATCCCTAGTATTACGTTTGTTTGGTGCACCAATAAATTTTATTAGGGTTTTTCGTCATCTGGACGAATGTCTGCTGGACATAATTGTTCAAATTATTTCAAGAGTGAGAATGTTTCTTTACTAGATCTTGTATTAAGATTCATATCTTTTTTCACTGATAGATCTCCCACACTGGAGTATCGGTAGATATGTTTGGTCCAAGTTTGGGGAAGGTACATGGGACCTAGTCACTCTTTTATGATCGGTATGATAAATAGATGTATTTGGCAGATTATTTGCTAATATCACAAATAGATTATCTTTTGAACTTCTAGTTATTCAAGTACTTCATTATAGGAGGAGCGCTAGATTTTGCTAGCAATTTCATCGCAAATATCATGTCTGTTGCGATTATGGAACTTCTGGTTCTAAAATGGTGCTCCAACGATAATGAAGTAAGGGACTTCGAGTCCAAATGGTTCCTTATCTGGTTCAAGAGATTATTAGGCAACCTTTAGTTTGATAAAAACATGACACTTATGCATATAGACATGTGAAAAGCATTTTTAGATGTAGGCTGACTGGTGTATAAAAATTCTTCAAGGAAAAACTCGATCTTCAAGTCGAGATAATACTTATAGCTTTCACAAGCTTTTTATTTCAAAAATCGATCTCAGTCTTTAAACATGAACTGACATCATCAAACTCTTTATATATTTCATTGATGTTTACACCATCAATATTGACTGAGATAACAAATAAGTCCATTATCAACTCTTTATTGAGCACATAATGGTACATATTATTCCTTCTACATGAGAATAATAACCCCATTCGCAACTCTTTAAAGAGTAAATAATAGCACTTAATAATACTAAATAAATCCTCATTTGGGAATTATAAATCCATCAGGGATTTCTCAAAATAAATATAACTGCATATCTAAATTTATTATTCTGCCAATTGTATTACGTAGCGGAACTTAATGTCATTTACCGTGGGAGAGTTTATTTGATTAGAATCAATCAAGGGTATCTGCGTGAACCCATAAGGCTACAAACTCGTTTCGTTTCATATCATATCACCTCGTTATTCTTATTTCTCTTTCATGCACACACACATTTGTAACCTTCAGGGTTAACGCTCAATGGTGTAATGTTATAAAGAGAATTTATTCATTTTAGCGAGTCGAGCTATGCCTTAATTGTTCCTTTATATGTTAAATAGTCATGACACTTCTGGTGCCTAACTCTGGATCCAGATTATCATATAAGGAGCAATTTGTAATGGAAATTATGTTGTCGACAACTATAACCTTTTATAAAAACTCCCATATTTGTAAAAGTAATGGCAATTTCTAAAACAACCAGATTCTAAATATTTCCCAAAGATATTTTGATCTAGTCATTTCGCATCCCTAGTATATGTTTCTTTTCTTTACCAATCTGCGTTCGGCAACAATCTTGAGAGGATCGGCGATGATGGCTATGACGAGAGGCGATGGAGGATGGCGGCAACAAGCCTGGGTTTCTTGGCTTCCGCTCTCTGCTGTCTCTCTTCTTTTCTCTGCGAAACCGATCGCCGGTGGAGAGACGCCGTCGACCAGTGGGCGGCGACGGCACGGCTGCCCAGATGCCGCTACTGTTTTTCCTTCTTCCTCGATCCGCCGGTTGACAGTGATCTGTGCGTCGGGCGGCCGACCGATAGCCGAGGTAACAACGATCGACGGTGGCTTGAGGCGATGGTGGCCGTGGTAGCGGTATTTAATGGTGGATCCGCGAAGTCTGCGGGTAGTGGCGGACGTCTCTCCATTTCTCTTCGGTTTTATCGAAACCATGCGTAACATAAATGGCCCAAAGTAACACCATAAGCGTTATTTCTTAGAATTGCTAGGGTCTTTTCTATCTAACACCCTAATATGCATATCATTTATTTGGGCCATTTTTTAAAATTGGTCCACATTTATTTATATGGATCATTGTTACATGGGCCATTTTTTCATTTACCTCACTCAAGCTCTATTCTGTTGGACCTTTTTTTTGTGATATATTATTTGTTCCTATCGACCTTAATTTATTTAAATAGGTCCACGATCTATTTCTATGGTCCTCATTCAAATATTTTATGTAGAAATGGCTGCTCTCGCAAAAAGAGAATTTGCTGAACTCGCCCTCGATGGAAGCAATTTCCTCACTTGGGCGCTTGATGTTGAGATATATCTCCAATCTATAGAATTGCTGGACACCATTGAAGAGACATCTACGAGCACTGCAGCCCAGAAGGCAAAAGCGCTCATTTTCCTCCGCCACCATCTTAACCACGACCTCAAGAATGAATACTTAACAGAAAAAAAAACCCTTATGTCCTCTAGAAATCTCTTAAGGAATGCTTTGACCAACAGACGTCATTGGTCCACCCCCAGGCCCAACATGATTGGCTTAACCTCCGATTTCAAGACTTTAAGTCTGTGACTGAATACAACTCCGCCCTACACAAAATTGTATCACAACTGAAGCTCTATAAGCAAATAATTACGGACGAGGATCTGATTGAAAAAACTCTATCCACGTTCCATCCAAATGACCTTGTGCTCCAGAAGCAGTACAGGAATACAAAGTATGCTACGCATCCAGAGCTCATTACGGCTTTACTGGTGGCTGAAAAGTGCAACAACCCAAAATTTCATTTTATAAATCCAGTATTAAGAAATCCCA